AGCCATTCCAATGCAATCTGCAACCACAGATTCAAGAACCGCATAGAACTACGCACACAGACACAACGACTCGTTGCAAAACACATAGGAGGAACAATTCGCGCATGAAACGACCCCAGCCGCACCTGCGCACACACGAGGTGCCTCTCATCGCCGGCTGCAGCCACTTTACACGGAAAAACACAAGGTTTCGTTCTCCGGCTTCCTCCCCAAAACATAGCCCATGCAACATTCATGCAACCACTATAATGCGTTTCGCAGCATCCCGTAGCAAACCTGCACCTATCTACGCACGTGGCAACATCAGATGACGACAATCAAGCAGCCATTCCAATCCAATCTGCAACCAGAGATTCAAAAACCGCATAGAACTACGCACACAGACACAACCACTCGTTGCAAAACACATAGGAGGAACAATTCGCGCATGAAACGACCGCAGCCGCACCCGCCGCACACACGAGGTACCCTTCATCGCCGGCTGCAGCCACTTTACACGGAAAAACACAAGGTTTCGTGCTCCGGCTTCCTCCCCAAAACATAGCCCATGCAACATTCATGCAGCCATTACAATGCGTTTCGCAGCATCCCGTGGCAAACCTGCACCTATCTACGCACGTGGCAACATCAGATGACGACAATCAAGCAGCCATTCCAATGCAATCTGCAACCAGAGATTCAAAAACCGCATAGAACTACGCACACAGACACAACCACTCGTTGCAAAACACATAGGAGGAACAATTCGCGCATGAAACGACCGCAGCCGCACCCGCCGCACACACGAGGTACCTTTCATCGCCGGCTGCAGCCACTTTACACGGAAAAACACAAGGTTTCGTGCTCCAGCTTCCTCCCCAATAAAATAGCCCATGCAACATTCATGCAACGATTATAATGCGTTTCGCAGCATCCCGTGGCAAACCTGCACCTATCTACGCACGTGGCAACATCAGATGACGACAATCAAGCAGCCATTCCAATGCAATCTGCAGCCAGAGATTCAAAAACCGCATAGAACGACGCACACAGACACAACCACTCGTTGCAAAACACATAGGAGGAACAATTCGCGCATGAAACGACCGCAGCCGCACCCGCCGCACACACGAGGTACCCTTCATCGCCGGCTGCAGCCACTTTACACGGAAAAACGCAAGGTTTCGTGCTCCGGCTTCCTCCCCAACTCACCACTTGCCTTTGTCACCGCTTCCCTTCCTCACCACTCCCCATCGTCACCACCACGTCCCATCGTCACCACCTCCCTTCGTCCACTTCCCTTCCTCACCACTTCCCTTCCTCACCACTTCCCATCGTCCCCACCTCCCTTCCTCACCACTTCCCATCGTCACCACCTCCCTTCGTCACCACCCTGTGCCATAGCTTCCTTATTCTATGTGATGTACCACCCTTCATCAAGGTCAACTCCATAGATTCTTATTCTTTTGTTCTGTATTGTTAGGTTATGTATTGTTTTGTGATCTACCACCCTTCATCAAGGTCAATTCCACCGCTTCTTATTCTTTTGTTGTGTATTGTTATGTTATGTACTGTTAGATCACGTACCACCCTTCATCATAGTCAGTTCCATCAAGTAAAAGTCATTCGTACTCGGAAGTATTGCTTCCCAACTTCCTTTAATTTTTTTATAGTTTAGATTTAAACTTTCGCTCTTCGCAACTCGGCGTTTTGCTTCTCACGATTTGCGCCTGTTTCTGGAGGGTGCCAGGTGATGTGTTGCCCACCCTTGCCCAGGCTTCCAAGAGTATACCCTCCAAGAAACCACTGCAGATGCAGCGAATTTCATGACCACACTACAAGGCCTCGGATTTTGGAGTCTTTCAGAGTACTCTGTACAGATTCAAAACATATTCAAGATGGATTCACATGTATTCTGTACATATTCACATTATTCACTGCTGAGAGGCCACTACTCCAAGCAGTTCATGAAGGACCGTCCAAATCTCGGAGCACAGGAATGCAATATTCTGCATAGCGGGCGCAGGCCATGGATTCTGAAAGATTCTGACAGTCCAAAGATTCTCAGAATTGCTGATGGATTGTGAAAGATGTGAAAGATGTGAAAGGTGTGACAGATGTGACAGATGTGACAGATGTGACAGATGTGAAAGATGTGAAAGATGTGAAAGATGTGAAAGATGTGAAAGGTGTGACAGGTGTGACAGATGTGACAGATGTGAAAGATGTGAAGGATGTGAAAGATGTGAAAGATGTGAAAGATGTGAAAGGTGTGACAGATGTGACAGATGTGACAGATGTGACAGATGTGAAAGATGTGAAAGATGTGAAAGATGTGAAAGATGTGAAAGTGTGAAAGATGTGAAAGATGTGAAAGATGTGAAAGATGTGAAAGATGTGAAAGATGTGAAAGATGTGAAAGATGTGAACGATGCGAAAGATGTGAAAGATGTGAAAGATGTGAAAGATGTGAAAGATGTGAAAAGATGTGAAAGATGTCAAAGGTGTGAAAGATGTGAAAGATGTGAAAGATGTGAAAGATGCGAAAGATGCGAAAGATGTGAAAGATGCGAAAGATGTGAAAGATGTGAAAGATGTGAAAGATGTGAAGGATGTGACAGATGTGAAAGATGTGAAAGATGGGAAAAGATGTGAAAGATGTGAAAGATGTGACAGATGTGACAGATGTGAAAGATGTGAAAGATGTGAAAGATGTGAAAGATGTGAAAGATGTGAAAGATGTGAAAGATGACCGATGTGAACGATGTGACAGATGTGAAAGATGTGAAAGATGTGAAAGATGTGAAAGATGTGACAGATGTGAAAGATGTGAAAGATGTGAGAGATGTGAAAAATGTGAAAGATGCGAAAGATGTGAATGATGTGAAAGATGTGAAAGATGTGAAAGATGGGAAAGATGGGAAAGATAGGAAAGATGGGAAAGATGGGAAAGATGTGAAA